GAAATACTGTTAATAATTACAGAGGCGAACAGATGCGACACAATGCAGAAGTTACCTATTATATGCTGCTAAGTAATGTAATGCTCCCTGAAGTTCCATTACTGTAATGTTATTCATAATGTAAATTTATGTTATCTGATCCGATTTCAAATGCAATAGTAGTGGAAAGCGTACGTGCATGGCAGCAAGTCAAGATGAAATATAAAAACATATGTATTTATATTTCTACTCATTATGAAAGATTTGTTGTGTCTAGCCTCCACTTAATAGTGTGTTTCTATGTTTTACAGCTAATAATAAAAAGGTGTCTGTTCATATGACACTTAATAGAAGGTGAGCCACTGTTTAACAATAAAATAATTTACAACTGGAAAAAACAGAAGCAAATGTGTAGTGAGAAAACGACTAGGAACCTGTCATTGCGGTTAAGTTAGCCTCATATTTCATATTCAGTTTTCTGGCTTTAATATCTTTACGGAAGTGGGCGTTTTTAATGACAGAATTGTGATGGCCAGTACCCAGGCATCGATGCACACCGATTATTTTTTCGCTTCAAAACATTTTGTGATTTGTGCCAAATCATGTTAATAGCTAATATAATATATAATATATGACATGGTGGTTTAGTATTTTGGGCTCATGGCGACTGTTGCACACCCCTTTGTTTCCCAGATTGCTTTACATGCGAATTTTAATTTAATGTTCGAATGTATTCGTATACTGTGCAGTCGACAATACATGAATGGATTAACTTTAAAACTAGACAAGACAGGCACATCTAGTGAAGTGTGCTTTGATCAGTGGACAACAGGGAACAATGCACACCCCTTGGGTTTTCAGAATAACTTTCTCTGTGTAATAGTTATTACTACATTGTATGCATATTATATGCCATTGCTCCATTTCATACATATTAACAAAGAGAACCCCTCACGATTCGCGCGTCAATGTCGTACGGATCATCCAGGTACGCCGGCATTGTCTTCGGAGAAATTGTATTGGGAGGGGCGGTGCTCATATAGGGCTGGCTTACGCGGAAACCTCGACTTAACCAAGAACAAAAACTGCTCGGAGCAGTTTTGAGACTTAGCGTAAATTGCCATAGCAACATGTCTCTACTAAAACCTATCCACCTTTCGTAGTACGGGTTACTCGCAAAGTTACCCCGATAAGCCAGTTACCCCGCTTCGTAGTACAGGCCCCTGGATGGATTTGGTGCGCGGGCGTGTCATCAGGCAGGCGGGGAATAGAGGTGGACGACCCTCTTGCGGCTCACGGGACAGAAGGGGTTTATTAATGAAAACAGAGAACACTGGGAGCACTACAAAATAAAGGACCACTAGGGGTCAAAAGTAAACGGGCAATAAACACAGACTAATTAAAAATTGGGTCAGGCAGGCAAAACGTATACATCAAACTTCACAGGACTCCAAAAATACAAACAATCAACAACAAACCACCGGCAAGCTAAACAGAGGCAGGGACTTAAATACAGAAGGGTAACAAGACTAACAAGGGGCAGGTAAGATTAATCAACAAGATTGGGAAAACAGGTAACAGGTGGAACTAATTAACTCAAAGGAACTAAACACGGAAACTAAGAACTAACCAAGAACTAACAATTAAGAAACAGAATCTAACACTGGGAATAACAAAAACCAAAAAAAAACATAACTAAGGCTCAAAACAAGAAACCAAAACTGAATACAAAAATGACCAGAAACAGGTACTGTACTAGAAAAACTCATCCAAATGAAACACTAGGGAACAAAATACAAAAACAAAGGGGGCAGGATTTGAACACACAACAGAGGGGTTAACAGATAGCTACATGCTCAGCTCATTGAGCCATGCAGCCAACAGGGAGCAGGGGAAACACTACAGACTAGGACAATGGGGAAAAGGACACAGACTGGGACAACACGAGCCGACCCTGACATTATTACCTTAATAAATAACAATAATAACAAATAATAGTCTGTATAGGGTTTGCAAACTACCCCAATGCTTTTGATGTAGCTAATTTTAGGTTTATAATGGAATTATATAGATTTTCTGTAAGATTTCTTGCGTGAGAACCTGAAAGTGTGAGTCTCACGCCAGATGCGTGAGAGTTGGCAACCCTGAGAGTATATTTCCCTTAAAATATGAGTTTATGCAGAACATTACCTCAAAGTATTAACTTAAATAAACATAGTTAACCACCTGATTGTGGTGAACGTTTCTTAAAACCATTCACGCTGGGGATGAGTATTCACCGTACATTTGGTTTGTATTCTGCCTTTTAGCTGAGCTTATCGCCCCTCACTGCAGCAGTCCCCCCCCGTCTCCTTTCCACTGTCTGAAACCGGCAGCCTAGTTTTAAATGTCGAGTGGGCAGGTGTTTCATTTCTCTTTACAGTCATAAACTGTACCGTTCAAATGCCGTACTCTGCCTGCGAGTTCTATAAGAAATATGACCTCTATCTCTCTTTAACATGGTTCCGTAATTAAAGTGCACCTTTAATTACTTTAAAGTGTACGCCTGATGTGTGGGTTACACCCTCTCCTCTTAAAGGTGTGCAACTCCCGGGAAACATCTAGTAGCTTGACAAACTATAGATGCATTAGACTGGGTTGGGTTTGGGGAGAATCCTCATTCCACACTTTAATCAATTAACAAATTCACTACGGCATAAATTTAAGAATAAATCTGTAAATCTATGAGTATGTCCTGACATATGTAACATTACAGTATACTGGGACTCAGTAAATTTAAACTTCAACCGATGTTTATATACACCTACAATCTGGTAAGCAGATTAGTAGTATGCCTGAAATATTAATGAGGCATGTTATGATGCCCAAAAGTTAGTAGGCCTAATCAGTATAAATTTGGCATATGCTTATGCTTTAATAAACGTGTCGGACTTTAAACTGCAAAAAGTACCGCCACACCACCGACGTCTTTTTATCTTGTTTATCCAGAAGATCTCCTCTTTTAAAAGATGTCGTGGCTGTGAGCTGTTCCTTTCTTCACCACCACTTCAGTGCATATGGCACTGACATATACCAAACCACAGTACTCTATACCAAACCATAGTACTGTATACCAAAACAGTATTATGTGTGGTGCCCCGCAAACTTAATTTAATAAACATAATGAAAGTTTATACTGATTACTAACTTTTGGGTATTACAAAATGAATCTCATTAATATTTTAGCCATACTACTAATCTGCTTAACAAATTGTGGGTGTAAATAAATGTCTGTTTAGTACGAAAAACCTAGCGTCCGACCAAATGTTTCATCCTTCATCTGTAGCCCTGCTGATTATTTTGCATGCATGACATAATATCGATCTGATATCGCACAGCCCTAATTCATGGCTTGAAGCTGAACAGTCAGACTTGCCCCACACTCCGATCTGAGAGTTTGAGCTGTGTCAGAACTGCTGTAGCAATTATAAAGTGCTTAGGAAGCCACCTCAAATGACTTCCAATTAGACTGCAAAGTATCTCAAGTTAAATCTTGACTAATAGAACCCCACCTGATATTGAACAATATTACATTAGTGTCATGGCCAAAGGTTTTGAGAATGACACAAATATTAATTTTCACAAAGTCTGCTGCCTCAGTGTTTATGATGCCCATTTGCATATACTCCAGAATGTTATGAAGAGTGATCAGATGAATTGCAATTAGTTGCAAAGTCCCTCTTTGCCATGAAAACGATCTTAATCCCAAAAAATCATTTTCCACTGCATTTCAGCCCTGCCACAAAAGGACCTGCTGACATCATTTCAGTGATTCTCTTGTTAACACCAGTGAGTGTTGATGAGGACAAGGCTGGAGATCACTCTGTCCGCTGATTGAGTTAGAATAGCAGACTGGATGCTTTAAAATGAGGGTGGCGCTTGAAATCATTGTTCTTCCTCTGGTAACCATAGTTACCTGCAAGGAAACACACACAATCATCATTGCTTTGCACAAAAAAAGGTTTCACAGGCAAGGCACCTAAATCAACCATTTATCAGATCATCAAGAACTTCATGGAGAGAGGTTCAATTGTTGTGAAGAAGTCTTCAGGGGGCCCAAGAAATTCCATCAAGCGCCTCCTAAAGTTGATTCAGTTGCAGGATTGGGGCACCACCAGTGCAGAGCTTGCTCAGGAATGGCAGCAGGCAGGTGTGAGTGCATCTGCACACACGGTGAGGTGAAGACCTTTGGAGGATGGCCTGGTGTCAAGAAGGGCAGCAAAGAAGCCACTTCACTCTAAGAAAAACATCAGGGACAGACTGATATTCTGCAAAACATACAGGGATTGGACTGCTGAGGACGTTTTCTCAGATGTTTGGGGCATCCGGAAAAAAAAAATTGTCCGGAGAAGAAAAGGTGAGCACTACCATCAGTCCTGTGTCATGCCAACAGTAAAGTATCCTGAGACCATTCATGTGTGGGGTTACTTCTCAGCCAAGGGAGTGAGCTCACTCACAATTTTGCCATGAAATAATTGCCTAAGAACACAGCCATGAATAAAGAATGACACCAAGACATCCTCCAAGAGCAACTTCTCCCAACCACCCAAGAACAGTCTGGTGATGAACAATGCCTTTTCCAGCATGATGGAGCACTGTGCCATGAGGCAAAAGTGATAACTAAGTGGCTGGAGGAACAAAACATCGACATTTTGGGTCCATGGCGAATTGCAGAGGTCCTGAAAAAGAAGGGCCAACACTGCAAATATTGACTCTTTGCATAAATATCGATATGTAATTGTCAATAATAGCCTTTGACATTTGTGAAATGCTTGTAATTATATTTCCCTATACCATAGAAACATCTGACAAAAAGATCTACAAACACTGAAGCTGCAAACTTTGTGAAAACCAATATTTGTCATTCTCAAAACTTTTGGCCACAACTGTATTCTTTTTCAGATTAGCAGCTTCATTTATTAATTAAACAAATATACAATTACTGGATGTTAGAAGTAATAGAGAAGCTCAAACAACATAACTGTGTCAAAATATTTTTTTATATTTGAAAAGCAAAGTTACAAAAGATTTTTAAGCGACAAAACAACTAAACAGAAGAAGACTATGGTCTGTTATTCAGGAAAGCATGTGAAGCAATTTCCACACAATTCATTCATACAACCCATCCTATACAAGTAATGTGCTTCTATAATGTGTACAATGACTGCATTAGTTTTTATTAACAAATATGCTCATATAAATCACTTTGATTCTGATACAATAAGTCGACAACCAAAAATTATACATTGCATGAATGAGCTGTGAAATAAAATGACAGTAAACAAGTGAATAGTTAAATAGCATGTTCTGTTTTTAATTGAATTATCTGATTTTTTTACAGTCAGGTTTTACAGGCATCCTCAAAATCAAGGCCAGTGTGAATGCCATACTTCACTAACTTAAAATTTATGGTTAATTTACAGATGGCCCAAAACATACATATAGAAATCTGATGCATAACACATAACTAGGTGGCACAATTGAATTCACATTTGCTGGTTGTTCTGTATGATGCTGGCATTCTTAATATTGCCCTCAGACAACATTAGTACAGAACTGAGTTAAGAATTGAAATATTTACATTAGCATAGTCTTCCTAGTCTCGCCTAAAAGTATTTTTTAGTTGAGGAATAATACCTTGTGTTTGACATTTATTTAATATGCGTCCAAACCATAGATGTCATTTAGGATACCAAGTTCATCACTCAGCATCCTGTTCTGGACCTCCAGCATGCAAACACGGGATTCCACACACTTCATGTATTCCCTCTTCCAATGCCGACTCTTTTTTGCAGCCTCCCTGCAAGACGTACAAGCAAGAGGAGCAACACGCAGTTACTGACACACGGGACTCTTCCTTTGAGTTTGAACAGAAATATCTTCCATCGTGGACAACTGAATCTGCAAGTCTTTGCAAAAATTTAGGCCATAAGAAGACAGAAGTGTTGCCTCAACCCCATACAGTTAATGCGCACTGTACACTCTGAAATGCTTATAATAGTCTTTTGTTTGTCCCAGACAATCTAGTGTTATTCGGGTTTATGGCAATAGAGGTCTTTTAGCACTTTGAGCTCCTCAATGAGAGTCTTGTTTTGGTTTTCGAGTACAGCCACGCGATTTTCAAGACATTTGACGTATTCTTTCTTCTTCCTGCGGCACTCCCGGGCGGCCTCCCTGGAAACCAACAACAGTCAAACTCCATCACAATGGTTAGATTAGTGGAGAGCAGCAGAGGAGACAGTTAATGCTGCATGCCAGCCAGTGAGTCTCAGCAGAAAAGCAGGAGGAGCCACTCAAACCATGCAAATGACATCATAAAGACATTAATGTACTCTAAACTGAAGGCATCTTCAATATACAGGTATGTTTTTCATTACATACAAATTATGGAAGTCAAATAAAGTTATATATAAAGAGCTAAATATTTGATACAAATTATTTAAAAAAAAACTTGACTAATCTGTCCCCAACAGAATAGAGTAACATATAAAAGGTCTGAAAGCTGAAAGATACTGTATAGCTATCAAAACAATCCCATTACAATAAAAAATACATGCTTTTTAACAGTCTTCAGAAGAGACTACAATTAATTACACGCATGGATGAAACCCCAGGACAAGAAGCAGAAGAAGCATAGCAGTTAAAATGAGGTCAAAGCCAGCAGTAGAAGCTAGACTGGGCAGCAACCAGGCAGACATGGAAATTTGAATAACAAGCATAGAGAAACGTATTACACCAAAACAGCACGTTGTTACAGTGACCAGCTATGCCCTAAACACTGGCAGCTCTGCAGAGCACAGGCATTAACATGCTAAATGTGCGGGCCAGACACAAACAAGTGGAAAGACACAGGGCATGTTTGGTCAGGTAGGGTCCATACCTGTTCTTCATGAGACGGAGCTCTCTCTTGCGTGTGGCTTCCTCAGCCAGCTGCTGTGGGCTGGGTACGGACCCCGGTGATGAGGCCATCACCATCCCATGGGGCAGGCTGGAGGTAGGGCTGCAAATCTGATAGGTTGACATGTCACCGGTGGCTGCTGGAAATGAGACAAATAAACAGTCAGGGCCAAAGTTCCCCCCAAAATAATTTGTTTTAACCCCAAGTACTCAATTCAAGCCTAAGCTAGTCATTATGCAGAAACTTTTAGCGCTTTCCTACTGCCACCAAGAACTGAGTCGAACCCGAGTCGAACTGCCAACTGACGGTTTTCCATTGTAAATCATGTGAGCCGTACTCCAGCCATAAGCACGCTGACAGAGCCCAATTTGTATGCCCGAAAGCCTGAACAAACCAAGCTGGTTTTGTCACCACCGTTTGATTGGTTGAAATGCACAGAGACACCGGTATTCTGCATCGATACGCATTGATTATCTGAAGGAGAAACAGGTATATTCAATATATTATTGAATTATTAGTAGTATTGCACATCATGACATATTGGTGCATACCTTGGAACCTAAAAATTTCAACCACCTTCTTAAAAAAAATATTATAGAACAGCTAATTGGGATAGATTCGTAATGCAAATTTACAAAAGGAATGCTAATTCTGCTAGTGTTTGATGCTAACATAAGACAGCAATTCTCACAGTCATGCTAGTGGACATTAGCACACAGTAAAAATTAAAAATGCGTATAGTAAATCATGATGTACACCGTTTGAACAGTAAATAAGCATCTCTTCAGTTTTACATCACTGTCGCTCTCCAAAACTAGCAACACCTTTACCCTTCTGGAGTGGAAAACTGAGGCAAGCTGGAACCATGCTGTAACTAATGCCGTTTTGCGGTACGGCTCAGTTCCTGTATGCCAGTGGAAAAGTGCCATTTGCTTTTAACTCGGGTCATTCACAAAATTCTTCTTCATTAGGGTTATACAAAAAAGACAAAGCACTGGATTGGCAAAACCAGTTCCAATGAAAATGGCAAGTTAAAACAGTTTAAAATGACTGCAATATTACAGCACCAGAATGTTAATATATTGAAATGATGAATAATGGGTGAATGCATTAAAACATACAAAGGAACAAAATAAAACAGACTTAAAGTGCATTTGGTGTCATTCTGGTATCCAGTGGGTCATAGTTAAGGCATAAACCACTCCCTCACATTAAATGTTAATGCATGCATATCTTAGTCTGCGTGTGGGAGTGAATATGGGGATGAATTCCCAAGGACAGCAAACTTTGTAAATCAGGATGGTGAAGAATAAAATGGTGATGACAGTTAAACTGTACACTGCTCCTGTATTTAAAAACAGGATTAACATATTTTATATAAATTCCTAAATGGATTGGGGGTGAAATCTCCACCCCTTATACAGACATGGAAAAGATTTTAAAAGAAAACACAGCTAAAAATATTTTTCAGGAGTGGGCTGATGACATTGGTTGTTATTAAATACATCAAGAGAAATTTAAATATTACTCACTTTCACAGCTTCTTATTCATACAATGTTTTTGCTACATCAAACACAAGTACATACAGAATATTGTACAACAAAACAGCTACACATAATTCCAGATATTAATTCATAAGAAAAACTATATTTTTCTGAGAAATATTTGCAAATCATGTAAAATTCATTGCTAGCCACAGAAAATCAGTTAAAGTGCTTCACAATGCCTTTATGAATTTACACCCAGTTATCTAACAAATGATTAGGCTGCTACCATCTTGCCAGTGCAAAAGAAGCTGCCTGTAATCACAGCATGACTCGCGACTGACGTCAATGTACATCTTATTTGCTGTTCGGCGTCTACATTTTCCTGCCAGCGTCTGATTCCAGGAAATGTGGTGACGTCAGCCTCTGCTGACTGAATGGGCTGTGCATTCGAGCGTGTCACACGGGGAGGGGGGAGGCAGGGAGGGAGGAGGGAGAGAGAACATAGGGAACTAAACTGGCTAGGCTGCACTCGGATTTCTCCCGTGAAAACAAATCCAACCTCCAAGCTTTGTTACATTAAAAATAGGAGTCTGGGGTTTTTAAACAACATTTTCTGAATTCTGCACTGTTGTATTTCTGTTTATTCGAGCAAGATTTATTCTCAAGATCATCGAGCTCCCTTTACAAAGGCTGTGTCTATGCTCTGTTCTTAATACACCAAAACTGCAGCACGTAAACTCCAGCTTTCTCCCATGGAATTACCATCTTTGGCAAAATACATTAGCTTTCTGACAACATTAAATAACCAGGGTAAGTTTTATTTATTTATTAATATTTTCCCTTTAACACACAACATAATGTGTACTCTAAATAGTTTCATCACTAACTATTGAACTGTATTGCAACAAATGAAAAACAGTCCGTGATAAAGTTACAATTACATCTGAAACTCAGTGTAGAGGGTATAAGCATTTCTTTAAGGCTCCTTTATAATTACAACCAAAGCATACAATTAAAGTGCTAACATACCTGATTCAGTCTCATCCCCAGTTACAGCCATGCCTGTTCTTTAAAGATCCTGGAGAAACCCTCTCACTCTGCTTTCAACACCAAATACTCCCCAATCGACAATTACATGTGTGATTACAATTAAAGGCATTGACATCACTATGACATCACTGGCCCCTTGAAGTCAATAACATGACTTCCAGACTAAGCCACCTCCCCCCACCACCCCGCTTCTAACAGCCTCTTGTTTTTTTATGTTTTGACACTTTGGAGACAGCGTATGACTCAGCCAAAGCTTCAGAATGCAGTGTAGCTCCCTTGCAAATGAATCTATGGATGAAGTCAAAACCCAAAGGCTTGGTCTGACATCACAGACACACGCAGATACTCCTTAAAGGAATCGATGATCTTATTTTTTATTTACATAGAATCCCCCCCCCCCCCATTATCCCCCTAAACTAATTTTGCATTTTCCAAACACTTTAAGACCAATGGTGAAAATAAAGTCTACGTATTTGTTTCCAAAATGTGAAACACTGTACCTTAAAAGTTTCATAAAATATTCACAAGCAAAAAAGGCTAATTATTTTAACAGGCAGCCACCCACTGCTCATTTTAAACATATCCAAAGAAAGAAAACCAGAAGCACATGTATACTGTCACATAGCAATATGCTTAAATGACATACCAAAACATACTTAAAAGCTAAACTTTTATTGCCATATTCATGATTCCAAACATAAAAATACAGGCAAATGTTCCCTAGAAAATCAGAGAATGCTCCTGAGCTCATTCAATAACAGATCAATACTTTATCTTGATGTCCAAATCCAACAGTTATACTGAACAAATCTAATGGCAAACTTTGTGTATTATGCTCATCCTGTACCCACAAAATTTCTAACCATTTTTAGCACTGGGCATTCCTATTACAGTCAAGGCAGTCTGTGTGAGTCTTTGGACACCTATGTTACAATTTTTTATTTTTAGAAAAAGCCTGGTCAGAGCAGTTTTTTCAGAATCAGGTTAGTGTGAAAGAAGCAAGGAACACTGGTTACCTTGCATAGCCATATTGCTCCCTGGTAGGGAAGCAAGCTTCTTTCCACCTGGCGATTGGGCAGCACACTGCACAATGGACATCACTGTCACAGGTGTCCTGGGATTGCTCAAGATCTGCAGAGCCCACATGTCACTGTTCTCTGAAGTGGTAACCTCAAATGGTTCCTTCTTTGGGATGGGGACTGAAAAAGACAAGGCCCTTCAGTAATCCACTGGAAACATCTTAATGCAGTGTTCTCTCTGGGGGATAAGCACTGTATTCCACTGCACCTTTCACAGCCCTTCTGTGAATCCTTAAATGCTTATTGTGGATTATCATGTAAAAGAAACTGGTTTTTAAGCATGGTATTAATAAAACTGATTCACATGGTTAGGAAATGCAGGGAATGCATTATTCAGGTGGAAATACGCAGCAAAACCAGAAACAGAAACGGGGCTTTTTTGGGGAGACAACAGCAATACTGTTACATTGACACTTAGTGTTCTGACCTGAGCTGGTGTGGAAACAATCTGCAAATGACTCTGACAGGGGTGTATGTTCCTCCTCCTCTGATTTAACCTCCTTAATCACAGGAATGGCCAGTGACTCTGATGATGGCACATTCAGAGACTTTCTGAAGGGGGGGGGGACCTCCACTTACACTGAAGCCATAAACTGAACTTGCTGAGCTATGATGTATGTGTGTGGAGCTGAGATACTGTCTCCAACCTATATCAACACTATTTAAAAATTCTAAATTAAAGTAAATTAACTGAATACACTACAATATTTTGTGCCCTTTCACCTGGGGCACAGGGACCTCCATTGCAGTGTGTCCACCTCTGGGCTGTGCTGCTGCTTTGGGAGGTAGAAACAACTTAGCCCTGACTAGCAGCCATCAGAAATAATCTCATTTGATAGTCACCAATGTCTGTGTTGTTAAAAAAACAGTCATAACTCTAGCAATTTGATAAGAGATTCTGTAACAAACAATAGCTATGCTTTTTATCAACCGATTTACTTACATATATATTTAATCAGGATGACACAGGTAATGTGAAATTTTGCGTAAAATGACAATTAGAAATGGTTTCAATGGCTAGCAGCACACAGACTAAAATAAATCCACTGTGTGATGTCTAAAGAAGAAAGCTTAAATCATTTTAAAGCCAATCATCCTGAAAAATCCAATTAAAGAATTCACTACTGGGTGCAATCAGAGTGTTTCCATTTCATACGGCCAGGAGTGATTTGTAAGCTCAGTTGTAAGCTTTCCCCTGCTTGGGGGAAAAAAAATGGAAAAAAGAGCCATTGATTCCAATAGTAGTACTTTACCTGTACAGTTTTTCTTGACCTCATGTTATATAGCTAAAGAATGGCAAACAACGTGAGTGCTAAATCTTTGACCAAAAAACAAAAATATATATCTTGTAACTTCTCTGAGAAGTTATATAGAAGATATATAGTATTTGTTAATATAAATGAGACACCACTATGTAAAGCACTATATCTAGTGAGACATATAATCAAAAATAAAAATTAAAATAGGAGACAAAGTCACTCAATCACCTCAATCGGCAATAATTTAATGAGACTTTACTTAAAAGGTTTGCTCTGCTTATTTTAGAAAATTTCATCAAGGCTGCATACTTACGATTTTAGATATAGAACTATTGTTTTGCGCTGTGTGTACTTTACATTTCTATCGCCAATGGACTAAAAACAAGAATGCCTAAATAAATTATTTTTATTGCTGTTAATCTTTACCCTTTTTTGTCGTCACTATATCATGTAACCTTTTCAAATAATAGTCTTGTTCCTCCAGAAAGACATCGAGACATATTTTCGAGTGTGACAGCCTTCAACAAGCTTACATTTCAGGTTCATGTTGATTCGACATTATAGTGCCGTACAATGATGCATTTCTCAGCCCTTGTCCCAAACGCCGCTTTCAGAGTTGCCAACTTCGGCCAGGTGGCTGGAGAGAGATGTTCAATTTGAGACAAGTCTGCACACGGATTTACATATATGTTCAGTTTTATTACCTTGAAGATAGTTGGTAGGGTTTGCAAACTACCCACCGTTTTGATGTAGATAATTTTAAGTTTATAATGAAATAATATAGACTTGCCGTAAGGTTCCCTGCGTGATCGTACTATAAGTGCCACGCCAGATGCGTGAGAGTTGTCAGCCCTGCATTCCGTCGTGAGGTAAGTATACAAGATAGGCTATAGATACGCCATTAGTCTGTGATACTCACGTCCGAGGTATTAACGACGTTTTAATATGTCAAATTAAATTAACTGGCTGCACGTCGTCTTTAAAGTTACATATCTAACTATAAGTAGTAACTTAAGATGCGGCTAATTAATCATCATCTAGCGGCCGGTGTGATGCCGACGCCGCCTTCCAGGAAAAACTCGCGCGTGGGCGAACGGCCTGAGCCGGGCTAACACGGTAACGGGGAGAAGTGTCGGGGAGAAGACCCCAAAAGGAGGGAAAATAACGAGTACCGTATAGAGAGTCCGGCTTCTATGTGAGGGCGACAGAGGGGGTAATTAAAGGCCCGCTTCTCGCTATACTGGCAGCCCCTGTTTCAACGGACCCGGCGCACGCGAACCGCACGCGGGCTATGTTCGGTCTTACACCGTGGATCCAGCATCCCGTCAGTAATATACTAGATTATAGATGTCATTTACTCAAGAATAATAACAGGCAACACGCCTTGAATATTAGTTATTGAAATAGCTAATATTATACCAATTTATATCTAACTATGGACTCAAATTGTTCCTTACCAAATTAGATATTTTTCATTAGGGCTGTGAAGAAATACCGGATTAAATGCGGGCAATCTAATGGCGACATCTAGTGGCTAAAATTGGGTACTACGTTTTGTCAACATAAATTTAGAAATGTTCCAGTATTTCCGGAAAATGATCTAAGATCTGAAAGCTCTTAAATGTCATTTCGTCAGAGAAATTTTTAATAGAGATTTTGTAGATTAAAGTGTTTGTAAAATACTTTGCAAATTAGCTGTAGTATGCAGCTGTACATAATTCTAACAATAACACAGCTAGATAAAAGATAATTTTATTTGGAGGATCACAGCATCTTTCTCATATCTTTTTGCATATTCAAAATCAACAGTTAACTGTATTTTTATATTTTTTAAGCTTTATATTTTTCTGTAAGGTAAAACATCAAATTCCATACAATGTTCAGGAAATTACAGAGATGGGTGGTGCAGTAGTTAGCACTCCTGCCTGATATGTGTGAGTGTGTGGGTTTAACCTCAGCCTCTGGTCTCTTACGCAGGTTTACGCTTGCAATGCAAAGACATGCAGTGACCTTTTGTCTCTAAATTACCTATGATACATAAGTGTTTACATGTGTGCTGCAATAGATTGGCATCCCATTCAGAATGCACCCCTATCTTGTGTCCTGTGCTGCCTGGTCTAGGCTCCAAATCACTGCTCTTACCTTGTATTGGACAAACAGTTGGAAGATGGATGGATAGAATGTAATAATATGGCTATAACAGAGACAGGCTATTCCTATACCTCTCTTTCTGACATGAACACTGTACTTTTCTTAAAATAAAAAATTGTAATGTATTTGTTCTAGATTAGACAAAAACTGGAATCTTAGTGGTTGATGATTATTTGTCCCTAATTTAATTTAGTGATTCTGTAACCATTGTCTTCTAGAAACCCGACAGTCATGTGTATAATAAGATAATTGGGTTCTCGAAACTATAAGGGATCAGTATATTAAGAATTTAAATCTGTGTCTGGCTAGATTGTCATGGTAGATACATTTGCTGCAACTTCTTTTCTTGCCAACCAACCGGACTGTAATATCCAGCATTCAGAAGTCTAATAGGTACACTCTAATGTCTTATGTTCATCAGCTTGTTGACAAGCTTTTTGGCAAATTGTACAATAACGGACGGATTATGCATTCACTTGTGCTGAAAGCTACAGCTTATTGGTGTAAAATTTTGCACTGTAAGATCGCAACGAGGACCCATAGTTGCGGGTTAAACCATTAAAAATTAGGGTTGGATGTATAATGTTATAATGTGATATAATATTTGAACATTTATGAGTAACAATTGATGGCATAAATGAGATTTATATACTATCATAAATAATTATTAAACAAATACTATGCTTTTATTTGAAATTTCTTAAGTTTATATAGTTACTACAATGGTTTATGTCCCCCACAGCTGATCTGATGGTGACGTCTTCGGGACAGGCTAATGGAAGAGGTGTAGCTAGCTAAGTGAGAAAAAAAGATCAAGCTTGTGACAGCAGGGGGAATTTAGTTTTTAGGAGAACAGTGACATTGCCCAGAGGTAATGGCCTTTTAAAATCGCTTCTTTTTTGTGTCTGTCAGATCCCGCGGTTTGTCGAGGGAAGGGCGTCACGCCGAGTGTAATATATAGTGATACGAGCTAGCGTTAGTTAGCCTGTTAGCCTGCTAGCCAGCTAACTGATTTGTCAGGGCTGCAGCCGCACCAACAAGTCATTTACCCCAGTTCCTACTTGTCAAAACTTTAAGGAGCGTTTCGCTGAAAAAATGTCTGTTTCAAAACAACTATTCATTTAGGTAGCCCAGTTTAGCTAATGTTACCTGTAACTTCCCTGTGAACTTAAAATTGTTATATTACTTGCAGCTAGCTAACGTGCTACTTAGCTACGTTAGCCTGCTGTGTAGCTACATAAATGGCTGTGAAAATTGTGACTATGGGTGGTTGGCGTGAATACAGTACTGTTGAGACAAGAGACTCTTCATTTAAAAGCTGGATCATAGCGATTATATGAAGTTACCCGGTTTCCCCGCAAGGTCGTGGCCGGTGTCTGCGTATGCCCGGTATTCCCCCGCCGGGCGGTCACTAGCAAGTCTATAAAGTAGTTGTGCATTCTCTTTTTCTTTATTTTTGAATCATATTTATATCTAGTTGAATATTTAACACTCAAGTGAGTGCCTTAGCTCTGAACCAACTTAGTGCATCTGTAGATTTAAGGGATGGGAGCACGCCTTCTACGTACTGGGGTAGGCGGTCATCCCTTATGGCTCAGACTGATTTTCCGAAGTGTTTCGTTCTGGAAATGAATGACAAAGCGATGAAGGGGTTTCTTTGAGTCCGTTTCGCATGACGCAGTGTGTACCGGAGGTTATGCACAGGCCAACACTTAAATGTCTACTCATTAACAAGGGGAATGAAATTATTAGGATGAAGAATAATCGTTATGCATTTCAAATTCACTCAGGGTTGTTCAAGCAGGGGCGAACCCGTATTAGATTTGTTATTGAAAAAGTGCCTCCGTGACTTCTGGGGGGTGTGGGGGTAAAAGTGTTTTATAGTGATGTCACCAAGTACATAAGCACCTTATACATCCATTATACACATTGAAAATACAGTTTGAGCGTATAACTAACTGTAAGACTAATAATACAGGTGCATGTGGAGAGCGCTGCATTTGCTGTGTTGTCAAATGTGTGTCGCTTATTAATGCATCATAAAATGTCAGTTTCATCTGTAAGTATAATGTTCATGCTGTACTCTGATGTAACTCTTAGCAGAGTACTTGTTAATGTGTGAGACCTGCCACTTCATGCTGCCTTTTTCATGATGTCAAATAATACAAAATTTGTCTCCTCCCCAACCCAGCTTGCAAGAACGGGATACGATGTCCTTAAAGCCGCGAGTAGTGGATTTTGATGAAACATGGAACAAGCTTCTGACAACAATCAAGGCTGTGGTGATGCTTGATTATGTGGAGCGTGCCACCTGGAATGACCGCTTCTCGTATCCTGTCTGTGTTTTTGTGGCACCGCATAATGTAAAAAGTGAAACATTGTTATTGCCAGTGACAGAGGTGTGTGTTTAAATGGTTGTGTGATTCGGTTTAGGTGATATTAGTTGAATTGCTAACAAGTGCAAATGTTGACGGTTGGTTTACTGCAGGGGTGGCCAATCTTATCCGCAAAGGGCCGGTGTGTATGCGGGTTTTCGCTGCAACTCCCGAATTAGATTACTAATTAGAGGACTGATTGGCTGAAGAGTCCTCACACCTGGGTTTGAACAGCTGACCTACAGGTTATCCCAAAAACCTGCATACACACCGGCCCTTTGCGGATAAGATTGGACACCCCTGGTTTACTGTAATGTGACTTTTTCATCACAAAACAGGAAAGGCTCTGTTTCTTACTGTTGGGCGCATCTAAATCTGAATGGTTCTCTTCCCTTAACCCATGTGACAGGGACATATATGCCCTATGTGTCGCATACCCTGAGCCCCTGGGTGAGAGACTATATACAGAGACAAAGATTTTCCTGGAAAATCATGTCCGACAGTTGTACAAGGTATGAGGATTCATGGTTTTCTGTAATCTGTGCGCTGCGAGTCCAGCCCATCACTGGCTGCTAAAGACCGGGTGCTTTTTATTTCTAGAAGGTGCTGGAGTCTGAAGAGCAGCTTCTGGTGCTGTACCACCGCTACTGGGAGGAGTACAGCAAGGGGGCTGACTACATGGACTGCTTATACAGGTAACCAGCCACGCTGCTTGTAATTACTGCTGGCTGATCGGGGAGCTTTGCCTGAATTATAGTAATAAACATTCAGAGTATTGTGTGTATGAAAAGCAGTATTGGGCATTTCAGATCCAAAGCTATAAATCCAGACCAAGATTTTGTTCCTACCAACCAGTCGCGTATAAGGAGTCACAGTCACAAAGTACTCAACTGGTTGGTAGAAACAAAATCTTGGTCTGGATCTGTAGTTTCTAGACCTGAAATGCCCAACACTGATGAAAGGGGCTCTAAATGTGTATGTGCAAGGAAAATCCATATTTTCCAATGGCATGTCAGCTTATTTTTGCATTTGTTTGCCTCCTACCTCACTCTCTTTTTCCACTGAACACATAAATGTTACTTTCACTCATAATCTTCTCGATGCTGACTGGACTTGAATTGCATGGCAAACCATTGCCTCACCTGGGTGTGTTTTCTGGGTATCTCTGTGCTTTGATTTAATTTATTCATTCAGAGTCACTCACCTGTTTAAATGTTTAAGTATATGTGGCAGAATATTTCCATGATTATCCTGACAGCAGACATCGCTGTCCTCAAGCACTATGCTGCAGCCGTCATTCTTTCCCATGCAGTCCGCATTTTAAGCTCAGCTTTACTTTATACCATTTCTTCTTCATTCAGTAACTCGTGAATTCTCACTGCAGTCTGTACACGGAACAGGGTGAGTGGACATAGTCTGATCACGCTCAGCTTTTAGCCTTAAATCTGTCCATGTCCAGAAAGCATCCCTTTACAGTTGGCTTTCTAGGTGGCGAGCATTAAGGATAAACCTATCCTAGGCTTAACCTATACATTAGAACTGTGCAAATTATCATGCCCACTTAAGTCATTTGCAATTGATACCTCTCTCTAGAGTCCTTATTTAGAAAGGTCTATTTTTACATGGGGTCTATGATTGCTTCATCAAACTCTGATGGGGGAGTCCATACATACATGCATGCAAAGTGCCGGGCTGCTATGAATTCGCCCATTTCTGGCCGTGTCATGTTTATATCTGCCTTTTGTCTTTATTTGGCCATTTACTTATAACCAAGCTGAACTCTAGTTTATCTGTCATGTTGTGATTCTTTAGGCTGCCCTGTTAATACTTGATGGCTGGGTTTTCAGCTTGAAAGGTAAAAAGCCTTCAGTGTTTTATGACTGCGAATCAGTGTGTCACGTATGTAAAATACTGATACATGGCTGGCTTGCCCGCAAATGGCGCTCTACAGCACACCAGCGGCTTTCCTATCACGCCCCGGGCTTCTCTTGTGTTGTGTCTCGCTTTGTGTTGCCGCATGTTAAGCCTCAAACCGATATTGTTAGAAAAATGCTACGTCTGCCCTGTTGCCATGGCATCCTGACTGCCTGACTTGACACTCCGGTGGTTATCCAGTGTTGAGAGAGCTGCAAGCAGAATAAGACCAGCACGCAGGGCTGACGTGGCCCTCTGAGCCGGTGGGGGGGTGCTTGGGCTCTCCGAGGTCCCGCTGACCACCTCGAGGCCAGTCGGCCCCCCCTGCAGTACCTTCCTGTTCACCAAGCCATGATGTGGGATTTATTCCCAGCTGCACTCTCCAGTTCACCACCATCTCAACTGGGGGTGCCGACCCCTCTCTTCCCAGTTGTGATTCTGTTTTTCCCTCGGCGCAGGTACCTCAACACACAGTTCATTAAGAAAAACAAACTGACTGAAGCAGACTTGCAGTATGGCTACGGGGGAGTCGACATGAATGAGCCGCTGATGGAGATTGGAGAGGTGAGGGAGCTCACCAAGGGGCTCGAGACCTTAGTTTTGGTCCTCTGGTCTCGCATGAGATGAAAACCATAGTTGTGTTTTTCAACCCAGTCCTTGGGGACCCCCCTCCGACAGTCCACATTTTGTTCCCTCCCAGCTCCCAGACAATCAAGAACACCAAATACCTGGTACTGGAGTGTCAGGGGCAGGGAGAAAGCAAAATTCTGGATTGTCGGGGGTCCTTAAGGACTAGGATGGGAAACGCTGCCCTAGGGAACGCTTTGCTGTGTGTGGGCAAAGTATTTGCTGTATATATGGACAGCGGGTTTCTCTAAAGCTGTGCCCCCACTATTATGAACTGAAATGCCCTGTGTGTGAATAGGTGATGGCATACCCTGAAAAGCTAAAGGTTTCTGTTCATCCCCAGCTGGCACTCGACATGTGGAGGAAATTGATGATCGAGCCCCTGCAGGCCGTCCTGATCCGGATGTTGCTGAATGAAATTAAGAAGTAGGTGTTCTTTGTTTGGGAGTTTCCCTGTGTGATGCCGCTAAGTCAGGGCTATTCAATTCAGGCCCTCGATTCCAAATCCAGGCCTTGTTTTCAGTTCTCCCAGGTAGTTAGTTTAATAATGACTGATTCTGATTGGTCAGAGGCTTCATACCTGGCTCACAGGTGAAGGAAGGCTGGAAAACCAGCAGGGCTCAGCCCTTGAGGACCGTGAGTTGAATAGCCCTGCTCTAAGCGGCCTGGAGTTGGTGTCCCAGCTTTTTCGGCACACCTCAGAATGTGACCTGTCCGCTGTTAAGGCTGGTTTTTACTGTACACAGACACAGCAGCCCTACAGCCTTCGTGGTAGTTAACAGAATTTAGTCATAAGGTCCGGCCTTGGACACCTCGTAGGGTGCCATGCAGCACTCGAAAATTATTACAATGATTAGGCTCTTCTCAGTGATGAGCGCAAACCGCGATCTTTCATTGGCCAGGGGTAAAGTAGCAGGAAGTCAGAAAGTAGTCAGAGCAAAGATTGTATGTAAACCCCTTTTCTGCCCTCTGTGATCAGAATGGTGATGATGGTGGCTGGCAGATTTGAAGCATGGTTGACTGTGAAAGTCCAGAAATACCAGCATTTATGATTCCTTGCTAGGGATTATAAAGACTCCCAGATGGCTACAAACTAAAACAAATATATTTGTACCGCAACGCCCCATGTATGTTTTTGCATCAGTGTTATAAAAACTAAATAAAAAAAATTAAAATAATATTTATTTTCATGTGAGATCTAGCTTGGTTTCATTTTTTGGTGTGATCTCGATAGTTTTTATTTTAACGACGTTAATCTATTCCGTTATTTTACTTTAGGTTTTAGTATTTTTTCTAGGGATGGTAAGAAAAGTTGTTGTTGGCTTCTACGAAGTGTCAAGACTAGGGCTGTCGCGATCACATTGCAATGTAATCGCGGTTTTACGCCGCATGCACAATAATCACCAGGGCTTTAGATGATGGGTGAAACATTTGTCTGGACGTTGGCTTTTCAATACTTTATGGATGTTTACTTACGCCCACAATTTGGTAAAGAAATTAGTAGTGTGCCTAAGATATTAATGAGATGTGTATTGTGACGCCCAAAAGTCCTTGTATAAATTCTCTATAAATTCTGTTTAAATTCAGAGTATCACTATGCTTATTAAATTCAGTTAGCGGAGCATGCTACTACTACTGTTTTAGTAAATCATGGAAGCAATAAGCACTGAAGTGGTACTGAAGAAAAGAACAGCTACAACATCGTTTGAAAGAGGAGACTGTGGATATACAAAGTAAAAAGATGTTGATGGTGTAGTGGTACGTTCTGCAGTGTAAAGTCTGACATTTATTAAACATAAGGATATGCCGAATTTATACAGATCACTAACTTTTGGGTGTCTCAATATTCATCTCATTAATATTTGGCACTTAACTGTTACCAAACTGTGGGCGTAAGCAAAAGTACCAAAAGGCCGGTGTCCGGACGAATGATTGCACATGCGGCATATAATCGCGATTACATCGTGAAGTGATCACCACATCCCTGGTCACGACGTAATGTCATTGGCTATTTCTGTGGTTCAAGTTGCATTGCACGAGAGGATCAGAGATAAACATTACTGTAGCTGAATGGTATTTAAAAATGGTAATGGGAAATATTTGATGTTTTTTTAGATTTCAGTTGATTTTAGAAGCAGCATTTATTCTCATTTGGTTGTAGTTTTTATTTTTGAATCTTATTTCAGTTTATGGAAATGCTTTTGTTAATAACTATAACCCTGCTTGTGTATTTTAAGTACATGTTCACTGTTAGTTTTAGTAAAATTCCTATTTATTCTCATAACATTCATTGAGCAGTTTGGCTCAACAGCTCCACCACAGGCCCGGTGGCAATGTGTGCGGTTTCCTGCAGCTAGAAGTATAAACGTTAAGGGTGATGGAGGTGCGGCATGGCTCTGCGCATGCTGCGGCACGTCTGCTATCGCATGAAGTGAAAACTGGCCCTTAATCAGATATCTTTCTTGTATCGAGAGCATCTCCTGTGTGTGCTGTATCTGCTCCAGTGTTGGCCATGCACACACTTCATGAACAGATACGTTCAGTGATGCACCGTTTACCCACTTTTAAGATTGTCTTTTTGAATAATGTAGCATTGTGACATAATGTTCTGTGTCCAACTTGCAGTGACCGCTGTGGCGAGGACCCAAATCAGAAAGTAATCCATGGGGTTATAAACTCCTTTGTTCATGTTGAACAGTACAAGAAAAAGTTTCCTCTTAAGGTGGGTGCACAAAGAAACGGTAATGTACTGTATTATTGAAGTGGACTGTGGCGCTTCTGGCTTATTAGCGTGTGTAGGCTCCAGTGTCACGCTGTCGGACGAGATGTCAGGGAAGATGGATGGATGGATGGATGAATTGATGAGTTAAATCACTAAAACGTTAAAGCTTTCCAAAAACCAATGTTACTAGAAAAAGGTGATGCAGTCAGTGAAAAGCATTATCTTTATTGCCTGTTTGTTGTCCCCCCACCCCCAGTTTTATCAGGAAATCTTTGAGGGGCCGTTTCTGACGAAAACAGGTGAATATTACAAACAGGAAGCTTCTAATCTGCTGCAGGAGTCGACGTGCTCACAGTACATGGAAAAGGTGAGGGTCCGTTTCCTGGGCTCACTGCTGTGGGGTCAGCCCTCTGCCCCAGTGCATTACGGGGTGAGGAGTGAAGTGTTGGCATTGAAATAGGCATTGAAAGCCTGTGGGGCTTCAGTTCTGTTTCCGTCCTGATTGTCCTCTTCCCTCGTTCTTGGGATTGGCGCTACATCGGTTGTAAAACCCTTGCGGTGAAACAAAGTAGATTTCCTGCCTGGGAGCTTAAGACCCCGGATCAGGTCCATAGCACAGAGCCGATGGCGCACACAGCCAGCTAGCGAGCCGCTGTAGCCTGGGGGCCCCGCAGAGCTGCGGGCTGTCACGCAGTCGGGGAGAGTCCTTGCCGGCTCTCATGCTCGCCAGAGTCTGCCAAGCCGGGGCTGCGGGGTCACGTTTCTGCCGAGATGCGGAGGAAGCAGGCTGGCTGGCCGGCCATGGATGGATTGATGTCCACTGTCAGCTTGCTGGAGAGCAGCAGTCAGCAGAGGGCATGTAAACACGAAGTTTTTTTATTACACCTCTGATGTGGTATCTTGGCAGTTTAGCCTTAAAACGCCGTCAGGTGCTGGCGTAGAGTCGAGCTGCGAGTTGCCCACGTTACCGGGCCAGCCGGGGTGACCGCCGCCCTCCCTTTGGCTGCAGGTCTTGGGCCGGCTGAAGGACGAGGAGGTGCGCTGCAGGAAGTATCTGCACCCGAGTTCCTACGCCAAGGTGATCCATGAGTGCCAACAGAGAATGGTTGCCGACCACCTGCAGTTCCTGCATGGGGAGTGCCAGGGTATCGTGCGGCAGGAGAAGCGGGACGGTCAGTATGCGGCGCTGGAGGCACGGGCTTCGCTTTGTTTGGTTTTGTCTGGTTTACACACACACACACACACACACACACACACATGACAGTGAGGCTTGGGGTCTGATGGCAGGGTCAGGCCATTAATCTAGTGCCCCTGGAGCCTTTTTCACAGGGTTAACTCAGAAGTAACTTTTCTGCCAAGAATGGAATTCAAACTGCTGATCTTCTGACCACAGGCCTAACTTGCTGAGCTACACACCTCCCCCTGCCCCCCAATAGGAAATGGTGGCCAGTTTTTTATCGATGCGGTGAGGCTATACCCGGCCAGACGGGCAATGTGGTGATGGCCACCTCCTTGGGCATGACCCCAGTGCTCTGTCCCCCCCCCCCCCGTGGCGGCAGAGTCCCGGCCCCCACCAGCTGGCTACGGTGGCCCTCGAGGCCTTCTGTTTACATAGCCCACCGGCGAAGAGGATAAACAGTGACAGAGTGACTAGCAATGGATAGCGTAACCTGGAGAGCCCATGCCCTGGGGAGATAGGGTCCTGCCAGCCCGAGGTGCGTGTGCTGACATCTCGCCCCCCCACAGACATGGCCAACATGTACACCCTGCTCCGTGCTGTCTCCAACGGCCTGCCCCACATGATCCACGAGCTGCAGATCCACATCCACGACGAGGGCCTCAGAGCCACCAGTAACCTCTCTCAGGAAAACGTGAGTCTCCCACCCGGCCGTACTGCATCCCAGATGCTCTCAGGACGCCTGGGGGCTCGGTCTTACTTTGACCTTTTCGTCTGATATGATTTGTCGTTTCTTAGATGCCAACCCAGTTTGTGGAGTCCGTGTTAGAGGTTCACAGTAAATTCGTCCAGCTCATTAACACCGTCCTGAATGGTGATCAGCACTTCATGAGCGCCCTGGATAAGGTGAGACCAGTCATGGCGCATTCTCACCACTAGATGGTGACAGAGGCTTTCTACGCTGATGTAAATACAGATCAGCCAGGGTTGTCTGTTTTGGAATGTGGTTCTTTTGATGATTCTGATGATAAACAACTTCCCTCAGGATAAATAAAGTATTCTCTTATCTTTTTTATCTACAACTAACAGATGTTAAGTCTGTTAAAATGTTACTATCGGATCCGTATAATTTATCGTTTTGTGTTTCCCTAGGCTTTGACGTCAGTAGTCAACTACCGGGAGCCAAAGTCTATCTGTAAAGCCCCAGAACTGGTAAGGACACATGGCTGGGACGTCCCTCTGTTACCCCCAGACACGCGTTAGTCTCTCTGCGTCGGTACAGCTTGTGCCTTCGCTGGCTGCTTGAGAGCCGGCGACGTGCTGTAACTTGCTCGCTTACGTGAATTGGCATGATGTGAACGTGACCCTCGCTCAGATGGAACCTCTGTTACCCTGTCGCCCACCGCCGCACAGCTCGCTAAGTACTGCGACAGCCTACTGAAGAAGTCCGCCAAAGGCATGACGGAGAACGAGGTGGAGGACAAGCTGAGCAGCTTCATCACCGTCTTCAAGTACATTGACGACAAGGACGTCTTTCAAAAGGTGAGTGCCTGGCCCTGCTCTTCCCTCCCGCATGCCTCTGTGCATAAGCCTTGCTAGGTCAGCAGGGGCGCCACATTAAACGGTAACCAGGGAGCCGGGATTGGCTGACAGCTTGTGGAAATAGGTTCTTTGCTTGATCGTGGGATCCTTCAGAAGCTGCACAGCAGTAGAGTCTCTTAAAAACCGTCTGTGAGATGCCGTTGAATCCCCCGCTGACTCTTCTTCCTTCCTGCTGCAGTTCTACGCAAGAATGTTGGCCAAGAGATTAATACACGGGCTGTCCTTGTCCATGGACTCAGAGGAGGCCATGATAAACAAGCTGAAGGTAAAGTTAAATGGCCGTCTATATACAGGTAGAGTCTGTCCCCGACTTATGTCTGGGTTCTGTTCCGAAAGACAGGTCGTACGTCGAAATGGACTTATCTCAGAATACGGTAATTGCACTGACTTTTAGGTGTGAGAGTGAGCATGTGGGGTCACCTGATAGCGAGGTGATGTCACGTCGGTTTGGTGTCCCTAAAGGGCACGTTGCTGCCGGTCTCTGAGATTACCGTAGTGCCACCACTGCCCTCTGTCACGATGTGTCATCTCTCCCCCCTTCTCCCATATCAGCAAGCGTGCGGGTACGAGTTCACCAGCAAGCTGCACCGCATGTACACAGACATGAGCGTCAGCGCTGACCTGAACAACAAGTTCAACAACTTCATCAAGACACAGGAGACTGCGGTGGACCTCGGGATCAGCTTCCAGATATATGTGCTGCAGGTGAGACCCGCTCGGAGCCGTCCCATCAGAGACCGGAAGCTTCGCTGTGCTTTCTGAAGTCCCTCATCGGTGTTTATGTGTTTCTGAGTGCATTGGCAGTGCTGCCGCTTCAGGTTGCCCCGAAATATTTTTTTTATATTAACTAACAAGCCGAATCCCTTTGGGGCAAAAGGCAGGCAGGCTTTACCCCTGTTTATTCTGTAATTTAATGTGGGTTTTTATGGGTAGCTTACAGCTATGACTGTACTCGTATCTAAACAAACATGGTAATTAAGTGTAACGCATGTCAGCTGAGTACTAAGGAGGGTCAGCCCACTTCCTGTTTTATCACCTGAGATTTCCTGCGTTTTTCTGTAATCCAAACCTTTTATCAACCAAACAGTGAGAAATATTTAATAAAATGTAATAAAAGTTGACAGAAATGGATATTCTAGAAAACGCAGAAGAACATAGTTTTCCAGGGTAGGGACAGTACTGACTCAGCATGTGTAAATGCTGAAGTTAAAGGTTCCAGGGACCAGCTGTAAAGGGTAAATACGTGGTCTTGCTGCGGTTACCATACGGACGGTGGTCAGCTGGCACGAAGACGGACACCTTACATGTCACCCCATCGGAGCTGTTTTTACTCGTTCTGAGCTCGGCCCGAACAAAGCACGGCAGTTGTTTATCAGCTTGTGATTACATCCCCCACCCCCCTGAGGTGAGCACACGGCAGTCAGACATGCCCTATCCTCGCTCTGCTTACAGGCTGGCGCCTGGCCCCTAACGCACGTTCCCACCTCCACCTTTGCCATCCCCCAGGAACTGGAGAAGAGCGTCCAAATGGTGAGTCACCAGCAGGGGGCGCAGTTGGGTAGGCTTTGCGTGGCTTTTCAGTTTGTATATGCATGTCGCTATACATAATCGCCTTTAGTCATGCTTATGTTTGTGCACATGCACAATTTCATGTGGCTACTGGTAATGTGCAGTGGCTGAGGACTATTTATAGATTGTGCTGCAGTCATTCTCTGTAGCTTTTGTGTGATGGTGCTTATCTTCTCTTGGCAGTTCGAACTGTTTTACAGCCAACACTTCAGCGGGAGGAAGTTAACCTGGCTGCATTACCTTTGCACAGGTATGAGGCGAGGCCCTAGCGCCAGGCGTGGCCTGCGACGCCGCCATTAACAATCCAAACCCACATCTCACACAACGTGACTACGTTCACCTTGAAACTGCTGCTGCTTTCCATTAAAGAGGCGTTAAATGACCAAAGCCAAATCTCAGCTGGGCTTTCCTTCCCGGAAATGCCATTCTGCACTACAGGGCTTATCTACAGATGGGTGTATGCTTATAAATGAATCCCTAAGCTGGGCTTTATACACTCAGGTGCTGTGTGAATTTACAGTTTTAAATCTCCATTTTAGTTTTGGGGAAAAAGTCCTTTGTGAATGTCGTTTGCAGCTTACTTGTGTTTGTCTAGCTGATTGTGCTGTGCTGAGTCATGTGAGGGTGACTGATTGCAATAGAAAAGGGCCTGATTGTAGCTCAACACTATTTGAATGTGGATTTTTCCTTTGTTAAATTCCCATTGCCAATGGACAACTGGTGTGAGACAGCGTATCCGGTGAGCCCCTGAATGTGATGGTGGTCATGTGATTAGGCATTTTTGTGATGTCATAATGGGCATCTGCAGTGAGCTGCGATTATCACCCACTCCAAATTCGAAGAGCTGTCATCACAACACTAATCCGTGAAATCGGAGATTGCCACGATTGTTTTGATATAGCAGACGCTAACATGGACCTTGTGCGAATCGGCACTTTGATCAGGTACTGGATATTTCCAGAGAGACATTGTGGATACATAGTCAAGGCTTGTAGTGGTGCTGGCCTTTGGTTAATGTAGATATGCAGGTGTTGACTTTGGAAATAGGAAGCAAACCCCTTTTCAGACGTTCTGTTAGTGTCAGATTACAATAACGGCAGTAAAACCAGGCATTTTTACTCAAGCATGGAGGGCACCAGGAGCTCAGAAGCAGGACCTGCACCCATCAAACCCTCTACTTGATGCCGCGCTCTCTCTCTCCTGTCCTGCAGGGGAGGTGAAGATGAATTATCTGTCAAAGCCCTACGTAGCCATGGTCACCACATATCAGATGGCCATACTGCTGGCCTTCAACAATGGTGAGACTGTGGGTTACCGGGAATTGCAGGACAGCACACAGATGAGCGAGAAAGAGCTGGTGAAGACCATCAAGTCTCTGATGGATGTCAAGATGATCAGCCACGACTCTGAGAAGGTGGGCCTGCTTGATGTTAGCAGGTGTTTAGTGGGTGTCTATCGCGCGTTAGCTTGCCTTATTGCGTGTTAGCTTGCCTTAGCATGTGTTAGTGCTGTCTATGTACCTCGCTTGTCCATAACACATTCAGTTAGGGGGGGTTCAGGTGACCAAATTTTGTAGAAGGAAAAATCTGTCTATCCATCTATCAATCTTCTAACTGTTTCTCCTGGCTGTGGTGACAGAGTGATTTGGAGCTTACCCCAGGCAGCTCGGGGCAGAAAGCTGGAGTGCACCCTGGATGAGATGAGAAACATTAATTTTGTGGGAAAAATTCTCAGCCAAGATAGTGATAAGGGAGTGGGAACCTGAGACTCAGGGTCTGTGGTGTCAGTCACTGTTTATTTTACCAGAATAGGAAGCAGTGAACATCACAAAAGGAAGTGGTTAGACCAGCAAATGATTGATAGGGCATCCTAATCCTGCACACTGTGACCAGGAAAGTCTCGTTCGGCTCATCATTAGTTACTGGTGTCGTTGGCCATGGCTTGAGTGACTGTTCTGCCTTGCTTATGGCTTGCACCTGTGGCACTGTCTCTTGACAGTGAGCTTTTTACCGTTTCCTCTTCAACCTACAGGAAGACATTGAGACAGAATCCACCTTCTCACTAAATATGGCCTTCACCAGTAAACGAACAAAGTTCAAAATCACAACCTCCATGCAAAAGGACACCCCACAGGTAGAGGCTGTACACGTCGACACTTGTTACGTTTGTCCCACTTGGGTAAGAACAGTGACCAGTAGGTTGCTAGTTGAAGTTCCAGTGTCATGTACGTGTATAGAATGATAAAATGAAGAACACTGGGGGGTTAATGCCTGGCTGTCCGTGCAGGAGATGGAGCAGACCAGGAGCGCTGTGGACGAGGACCGGAAGATGTATTTGCAAGCTGCTATCGTCAGAATCATGAAAGCACGCAAAGTCCTACGGCACAACACACTAATACAGGAGGTGAATGCGTATATCCTGGATAAAATTGTAAATGTCCCTGAATATGAGAGCATGTATGTAGTAGGGAAAGGCACAAGTCCCGGGCTTCGTCCTAGCTGCCCTGTGGGGTCTTCCCCTGGGAGCAGTGACCAGACTTTGGGTCAGCTTCATGGGGTTACTCTCATGTGATCACAGGAGCTCTTTGATCTGATTCATGCCCCACACAGAGTAAAGGGGCAGCAGCCTGTGTCTGTGCATGTGAGAGAGTGAGTGACCCATATGTGTCTGATACTTGGGGGACTTCAGATAACAGCCACAGGAGGGCATCTTGGGTGGGCTTAGACCCAGTTTTCTAACACAGGTCCACTGTGTCGGCAGGTCATCAACCAGTCAAAGGCCCGGTTCAATCCCAGCATCAGCATGATCAAGAAGTGCATCGAGGTTCTGATTGACAAGCAGTACATCGAGCGGAGCCAGAGCTCTGCGGACGAGTACAGTTACGTGGCATGATGCTGGAAACGCCCAGAAGTACCCAGTGGGTATTACTATAATAACTATTATTAATTCTCTGTCACTGTCTCGTGTGCTCCTGTGGGACGAATTGGAGCTGTGCCTCCATATAAAGGATCGTTTCGGTGAGTCGCAAGACGCCCCCCCATCCCACCTTCCGCCCCGGAAAAAAAGAGAGTTTTTTTACGCTGTTTACAACCTCACCAGTGCCACGCCGAGCGCGCGTCAGTAGAAAATGCCTGCAGCTGTGTGAGCGCCGGAGCCGGTGTTGCGTTTTTAGCTACATAACATAAATGACAAAAAAAGCCCAAAAATGCCACACAGGTCGGGAGCCGCTGCGATAATAGCGGCTCAGCAGCCACCAGGTGGAGACTGTGCTTTCCTTTCTCAGCGTTTGCGGTTGTTGTGGTATTTTTTAAATGTATCTAAAGTAAAACAAACAAAAGTGATATACCAATAACTGTATTTACTTCAAAATGTAAACAAAAAACGATCCTGCTGCTTGTCAAATAAATGAATAAAACAGCGAGTTTTTTTATTACTTTGTACGTGTCATGACAGAATGATATGAGTGGCTGGTTTTGGGGGGCTTTTGATTGTGTTTCTGTTTGAAATGTGTGTTAATCACGAGGATCGTGATTCTGTTCTGATATGATAGATTGTTTTGTGGGAAAACAAACGTGAACCGATGATTCGAACAGAAGACGTTTTGTGGTGCCTGTCAGCTGTATGCTTATTTTAAACTCAGTTTTCCACAGCTCTTGTGTTATCACCATTTGGTATTTTACAGAATTAACATTAAAGTTATTAATGTAAAGCTGACTACATTTCGGGCTGGAGGAACTTTGTTCGTTGGTCTTACTCGTCTTCTGCTTTCGTTTGGAGTTAACTGATGGATGTCACCGACTAAAAACCTCAGAATAACTGCGTTGAAAAAGAGGTGGTTCCTAAATGAATCACTAGGGGGGTCGGTGATCAATTTGATAAATTCTCTGGCGACATTCCATTTTTTATCATATAAATATTTTTATGGTAATTGGGGGGGGGGGGAAACATCACTATTTTGGGTTCAGTCTTGCTTTCGATTTGAAATACAAACAGGCAAATTTTAAACTCCAGAACCAAGGAAAAGTCCCACATGTCCACGGAAGCAACAGGGGCAGCAGCTTGCAGATTCCTCTCTGGGGGGCGCCTTTGTCACATGAGCGCCTGTGGGATCTGGATGGGTTGTATCACGTTTTGGTAGGCAGAGCATGATAAACATCGAAGTGTACTCACTCTATTTACAGAGACAACTAAAATGCACAACTGCCTTCTGGAAAAGAGAAAAAAAAAAAAGGCTCTGAACATGCAACACTGCCCGTTAGCACTTGTTTCACACAGAAACGGTCTAATCTGAAGGATGCTTGTTCCGCAGCTGCTTTGTCTGAGCTTGTAAACATCCCATTAACATGTCTTTGATTGTGAAATATTGAGAGAAACAAAGGAAATCTCTCTTTCGGAATATCATCTCACTTCCCCGACTAAATTGCCTGAACGACGTTTCCATGGCAGCATCCAGCGGCGAGTGGGATCACGGCTCTCTCCGTGAGAGAGGAAAACACCAGGCTTGATGCATTTGTCTTTTCAAGTCATGCTGAAGGATTTTTTTGGACTCGGGTCCAAAGCGAAGTTAAATAACGGATTACAGAAGAAGCGTCACATTTAGTCAGACAGATTAACCACCTGTCCAGGCCAGTGTGACATGCAGTACAGACCTGGGTTGGGTGCATTTATTTATTAGTTACAGAGCCCAAACATCTGAAACCACATTGAAAAACTGTGATTCCTTTTATTTAACCTTAGAAATAAAGTCTTGACATGGGTTAAGACATCAGCATTTCACAGTGGGTCACTGGATGAGACCGAGTTTGAGATTTAGGGCAGCGATGACCTCAACCTTATCAGATGTTTATGGGGGCACTTGATGAACAAGAAAGTCAAGCATTCAGTAACATCACAACATGCTCTTTAGAACAGCCTGGAATCATGCTGGGGTAACTTGCATCATCAGGTTTTGCACAGACTTGTGTAGTCACTGATTGCAGAAAAAGGAGACAAACGCTAAGAGATTCTGAAATTTGATTTTTTTTTTTTTTTTGTGTACAATGATTCAACTCAAACAATTGTACCAATATAATTTGTAATGAACAGTTCCGTATTTATCTTGGTTTGGAAGGTACCTACCTTCTGGGGCCACCTCCCTTTGTTCCTCGTTAATGCCGCCGCTTGGGGAGCCGGGGGGAACGTCACCGTCACTGCAGCACCAGCCGGGCCGGTTCCCGCTGGAGGGGCGTCGCCCACTCAGTGCTAATTCTCCTCTGCTGCACAGCTGCTGTGTGCTACCCTGTAATCCGGGCCTGACTGTGTTGTACCAGAACCTGTTGGAAAGCTCAGATTCAACCCAGTGCTAGTAGCTCCTGCAGACTGTTCTCAGTTTCTCCCTGTAGGAACAGCCCATAATAGTATACCAGCGTATTGTTACCTTTTTAGAGAAGTAAAACACACTTAGTCATTGACTGTTTTTAGGGTAATATGTTTAATTTTTAATTTTACAAATCAACGGTCAGAGACGTGCCTGAACCCAAAGAATGCTGGTCTTTGTTCAAATCACAAAAGGACAATGGAAAATCCCCTTGAGTGACGAATTGCACAGCCTGCCATCTTACTAGGCATAATCAGGTAACCTTGGCGTGAGTGTCTTTGTTTTGGCTCCATGGGTTAGGATGCTGTGCATGTGATCAGAAGTGTGCCGGTTCAAATCCCAGGGCAAGCTGAGTGATTTTACTGTCGGGCCCCTGAACAAGTGCTTTAACCTCCAACTGCTCAACCAGGGATTGTCTGACCCTGCATCCTCATAAATGCATGTTGCCTTAAAACATCTGCTAAATAAGTATAATGTCTCCTTTGGGGACTGCAGAGGTGATGTGAGGATGAATAACTGTCACCCTTCGAGTCTGTGAAACACTGGTGGGATTGTTGAATTTTCTTGTTTGGTCCCAAGTAAGCTAATCCAGGAGTTTATCACCAATCCTACCCACACTCGGGTTCACAGCCTGGCTATTTCTAAAACAGCACTTTCTTTAGCAACAGTCCGTGGACTGATGCTAACCGTGTCAGTCCTGCACAGCCTTAAATCTCTCAATTTGATCTGCAAACAGGTGAGAAGTGACCACTTGCATGATGTTCACCTGCACCTGTGACCTCTGTGTCCCCTGCTCCCTAATAAACCATGACAACCCACTTCTGCAGAGGCAAACACACAGCCAGAGGGCTTCCACGTGGCCCCCCCTGGTGATGGCACCCCTCCCAGGTGAGAGCTGTGTTTTGAGTTACAACAAAAAATAACAATAACACTAACCACAAGCCGAGACAAATTCACTTTTCCTTGTTTTCCTATGAGGTGGCTTGATTGCACAGTGTGGGAATCCAGTAGCCTCATGGTCCAATCTGGCCCCAGCTCTGTGGGCATGAAGGCTGTGTGGATTTGAGTTTCACCTAAAGCAACCTAGAGCTTTAATACAATTTTTATATATAGTTTTCTGGATTATATTAATGTAAGTACTTTTCTTGACGGTCCAATAGCAGAAGCCATTCTGAGACCAACAACCATTGCATTGTGAAACATTGTCCTTGTACCCAAGTTGAAGGAAGGGCCTTCTGGCCTGGCAGGTGAAGGCACTAAATCTGACTGACTCCAGGGAAATATCTGGCCATGTACAGCTGCTTTTGGTGAAAGCACTGATGCTGAGGTACCACCATCCACTGACACTAGGAAAGGTGGGACAGATGTGTGGCTGCACATCAGAGCAAACTATCAGTATAATAAAAATTCACAAAATATAAACACCATTACTCAACCCTGCAGGGACAGGACATTTAAAGTGGACTGTTCGTTACATTTGACAGAATCTTAAAATAATGAGATGCGTTAGTGAGCTTTAGGACAGAAATGCGTTTCCCTGTCGAATTAAGGCTATATTTGAGGAGGAGGATACTTGAGGATGTCACAGGTTATAATTATGTTTCGGGGAATCTCAAACCGGCCTGTCAAACACTCAGTGTAGTGTGAAAGACATAGTTTTTTAACTTCTAAAAAGGGGAGGATACAATCAAGGTTCGCTGCGAAGATCTCAACTGATGCGACGTTTCATTTTCATACTCACATTTATGTGTATTTACGGCGCACGTCCACGCCGTTAATCCGCAGACGGAGCGGTAAGTGCCTGTGATCAGCCCCTAGAGACGGTGACACATGGTTTCGTGTCCCGACCTGCCCGCCCTCCCTCCTACCCTCCCTCAGCTCGGCGCTTCCCTGTCCCTGCGTGTCGGGAGGCAGTACCGGCCGTGACCAGGGCGGGGAGACGCCGACCGCCGGCTCGGAGTACTGAGTACGGCGACAAACAGGTGGTCAGAAGCGCTCACTTAAACCAGTCCCCAGCATGGGGAAGAGGTGAAGAATCCCACCGTGCACCGCCACTCTGAAGACGCAGTAGACGTTTAATGCACAGCGGAGCGGCGCCGAAGGTGCCCGTCCACCTCTAGGGTTTCGGTACGGACCGCATCGTAAAGTAAGACATGAAAGTGACAGTGTGCTTCGGGAGGACCCGGGTGGTGGTTCCGTGCGGAGATGGGAATATCAAAGTGCACAGCCTGATCCAGCAAGCGGCCATGCGCTACAGGAAGGCGATCGCCAAGGTAAGCGCACGTCTGCCTGTCTGCTTTCGGCCGAATGTGTACAGCGACCCGGGGACTGGTGCGGCAAACTCAACATGGCGCTTTTCTGGGAGAAAGGAGGAGGGGGGCACCTTAAATGGACGTATTGTTTACATGGACCGAGTTTCCTTTGGTTACAGTGTGTCCGATTCGGCGCCGGTGTTACAAAGTATCACCGGATCCGGTTTTATTCCTGGAGCTGCCACCGGGACTCTTACGGGCGAAACTTCCCGGCTTCACCCTCCCGTGGCAGCACTGCCAGCCAAGCGAAACTAAACTGAAAATAGGCGAATGGTGCCTGAAGTGTGCATATAGTGCCGGTATCACCATGCACCCCCTCTTCAAATGCCCCCTCATGTTTTAGTGCTGGAAACACCCGCCTCTCCGGCCGGGGCGCCCGATCGGACAGCCCGCACCCCGGGGCTTTATTTAGGGCGTTTAATGACGGATCCACACACGCGGATCTCACTTAACAGACGCTTGATTTCCTTTCTTTTATACCATAACCCACCCTAAGCCTTGTATCGGCTGCCTGCCGCTTTGTTTCCCTGGATAAACTCGTTAGCTAACTACTTATGAGGGGAAGAGCAAGTCGCCGCGGTGCTTTCACCTTTAATTATGTTAAAATGTGAAAGCTGTGATTGTGAGGCATCAAAATGGTGTTTTGTATGCTGGATAAACTAGTTACAGCAACTGGTTAGTTTTTGAGGGGAAGAGCAAGATGCGTCAGCGCTTTCTCCTTTTATTGTATTAAAATGAGAAAAATCTGCGATTGCGAGTTTGTTGCGTTGGATTGGTGCTGTTTCTCTTTTAAGGTGTAAATGAGGGATGAGCTCTGGGCACACCAGGCCCCGCAGGACGGGCAGGGAGAGCTGCCTGTTTTGCAATAGCTAAAAAAAAAAAAAAAGATTTAATCGTTTAATCGTGTGCAAGTTTTTATAACGTAACTTTTTATAATGCGCAAATATCATTTTGAAATGTTGCTTTAAGCAGCTTTACGCTTTTAATAAGAACACCGTCTCACTTCGGCGGGGTTAACGACAAACTTCAGCTCCACACGGCCGCTAAAAGCGCTTTAATGCTTTTTATGAAGTGATATTCATAGTAGACAGTAGTACAGTAATGGACACTGAATTTGCTGCTTTAATATAAACCGGTCACTAGCGGGAAATAAAAAAGGCTTATTGCGCTTTATAATTTTGATAGGTGAAGTCAGTCCTGGGTCATTTCAGCGGTGGTTCACCTCCATAAAGATCATAAGAATAAAACACGTACTTGGGAACGCGGTCTATTATTAAGACGTGTAGTCTTAAAAAAATCTAATGCGCAGATTTAACCGTAATTCAATATGCATTAACATAAATATATCCAGTATTTAATAGGCTACTTAAGAGACGCTGTTATGTCATTAAAATCCATCCTGTCCTAACTTCCATTTTAAGGGTTTCTGTGGATTTAAAATAATGCTGCATTAAACTGTAACAGACTTGTGGAGGGCTATTCCAGTGTAAATGAGTTGTATTACGTTAAGTTACATGATGCAGAGGAAGTTTACACAACTCTAAAAATGGAAAGCAGGGGGGAAAAATTCAGTCATGCCAATTACACTACATGTAATTAGAAATGTTTGTTTCAGTTATAAGGATTTCCTTAATGAGTGGCTGGTTTGTTTTCCCCTGTTTATTTTAGTGATCATCTTTAGGTCTGGTTAGTGCCCTTAAACGGCTGTTTATGCTTTAGCAGTAAGATGTTTGGGGGATTTCAGTGTTTTCTCGATTTTTCTTTTGGGTTTATAAAATTGGCAAATAAGATTTTTTCTTCCTCGGATTTACACTTTAATCCTAATTAGAAATATAATGAAAGTGAAATTAGAACTGGGACACAGTCCTTTACTAAATAAATCCTAATCAATGGAATCTAAACACTGGTGCAAAAGTCAAAGCACTCAGTGTGGATATGTAGCATGCTTAACGTGAAGTACCATTTGGCAAACAACCTGCCAGTACCTAAGTTTAAACCCCCACTAAAAATGAATATACTGCCTGTACTAGCTGCTTTGAGACTTTCCCCGAGGCATATTTAGTCAAAATAGGTCTCGTAAGTAAGTAGCACTATTTTGGGACCGCGAGCCCTGCGTTTCTTTGTCTGTCTGTTGGAGCGTTAAGCTTGTGTTTTATCCACGTACTGATAGATGCTGCAGGCCTTGTTAAAGGGGCCGTGTGAATCCACACTCCCTCCCGGTGCCAGGATCTGTCATTTTCCGCTGCTTCAGCAGAATGCCGGCGGCCTGTCCATCGATTGCCTGGGGAGTGGGCATTCCCTGCGGCACTTTGAGGCGTCCCTGACCACTAGCGGGGTTCTTTCTGCCTGCCAAGGCTTAGGAGTGGTCAGAATGTGCACAGACAGGCTTGCCTGTGCCCTGTTGTCCTTAATTAATTTACGAATCAGTTGACTCGTTAACAAATGATCTTCTGCACCCAACTCATTCTCTGGCTGTAACTTAAAGCCTCTTAGATGTCTTGCTTCATCGGACGGCTTTGATCTTGCGCCACGTGCCAGTATGAGATGAACCAAATTTAATTGAGTGGATGATGAAGCCCCTGCTTGTTCGTCCTCTGATTTTCAGATGCCGTCATTTCGAAGCCCAGCCGGGTGCTTTTATTCAAAGCTGCGTATAAACGTGCTTGTTTTCTCAGCTGGATTCTTGGGAGGAATCCCTCTTCACTACCTTCCTGTGCGCTGGGTCCTAAGCCTCCGTGCACTGAGCTGGCTTCGGAGAGAATCTCCGCTTCTGGGTGACGTGTGTGAAATGTCAGCTAGTTTGAGCTGTCGAGGTCCACAGCGGACTCCTTCAGTGTTCTCTGTGAGCTCCAACTTTGCTCATTTCAGACTGAAAGTAAACTAGAGCTGAACCTCCATGCCAGTCAGCTGGTATAGTGCTTAAGGGGAAAACTAATTTAACTTACTATAAACTAATGTGGCTTACTATAATGTGGATTTACCCATGTAAGGACACCAAAAAGAGATTATGCACATGCTCTTTCTGTGAAAAAAGTAAGTATAGTAGACTAATTATGGCAGATATATTAAAGTAAACCTGATTCAGATACTCCGTACATATTTTTATCATAAATTATGTATAAAGTGTCCGTTGAGTGTTTTTTTATTTTAAGGTGAGTTGAGTGGGCTATTTTTAAAGGGGCACTGTAAAGCTGTTAATTACACCCCCCGACCCACATCCCGAGTGATTTTTAGTTTTAATAAGTTATGACTCCCCCACTAAGTTGTCCTGGGAGCTGGAAGCTGCAACTGACTGGCGGGGTGGTGATGGGGGTCTCAGTGGCTTGGCTGGCCTTCTCTTCCGACCGTGATGGGAACACAGTTGTACTGGCTGGCAAAGGCTTCCTATACTGCTCTTGGTGCTGACACTGGGAAGTTTGTCTTTTAAAAATACAGCATAATTACTCGGGGGTGGGGGGGGGATGTTAAAAATGAGCAGCTTGGTGCTCCAGATGGTTCCCAGTGAATGATGCCTGCAAAACTCGATATGTGAAATGAGCGGCGTGCCAGGATTGTGGGTTCGAATCCCGTGGCTGGTAACAGCCTTCGTGATGTTATGCTCCTCTGTACATTTCAGACCTCTCCTCCATCTGCTTAAGGTCTGTCTCTTGCTAAGTACCAGCCAGACCCTCTCCTCACCATCCTCGTGAAGGAGGAGGTGCTTAACATCAGCACATGCTGCACCACCCCTCATTTGTGTGAGGTCCCAGTTCAGGAAGATCTGTAATTACCATGGAATGACTCAGGAGGATAAAAATAGGCTCTGCTGATCTTGCACATCTCCTGTTTGTCATTGGTCACGTAAAAGAAGGATGTTTGTGCCCAGTGTGTCCTGGCTGCAGGTGAAAAGTTCACGTCACCCATTGATCAGAAGTTGAGAAGCCGGGGACTTCAATAGTTCGACATAAGGGTTCCTAAGAGAAAAGTTCAGTGGGCACCGTTTTTTGGATGTCAGACCTTAAAGTGCATTATTTTGTTTCAAAAGAGGAAACGGGCACATCTTTCTATAAATGTCAGCCCTGATTAAGATTATACAAACAAGCTAATAAATCCTTTGACACAAACCCCCCCTAAGGACCTTAACGGAGCTTGCTGACAGACCCAACACACATCTTCATTACACAGGAGAGTAAATTCTCCGGCTCGCAGCCCTGAACACTTCGCTTAGTGGTTCCCTGGGTGTTCTAAAGGTTCCGGAAATGCTGGCTGTGAGGTGAAGTGACCACATTTCACCAGGCACCTAACTCCGCGTGGTCAGGTTTTATTATTTTTTTAAAACTCTGGTTACCAGGTTATCATTCAGCCCCCGGCCAAATGACACCTCCTCGTGAAGAAGCTCTCATCAGTGTCTGCTGACACTTGCTGTGGACGCATCTGACTCTGCCCCCACTGGGGGAATATGGAGCGTGTCCAAATGGGCAGTATCGATCCTCCCCTGATACGATATCGCCGTCGTCCCTCTAGGTCATCTGTAAGACGCCCCTACCAGGCCTCTTCAGGGCCAAGTGGGATGTACGCTGCACTTTGACATCTTAATGTCACTAGGGGGCACTGCCTGCAGTCTCCTGGCACTGATTAAGCCGAAGGAAGGAGAGACACCACAGCACGTCCACGGAATGGTGTCCTCAGAAGCTTGCTGGCAGTTCAGCCTTGATGCCTAACTGCTGGCCGCATGTAGGTCTGCGTAGAGAGAACGCGGCTGCTCATGAACTGTTTTCATGCCAAAGAGCCTGTGGAGGGTTTATGCAGACAGCCAGCGGGTTGGAAACAGACCCTCTGATCGTGTGAAGCTCTCCCCACACCCGGAAGCACCGTTTCCACAGTCCTGCTGCTTCCCCTCCACCATCAAAGAGCCTGCAGACGCTGAACATTTAAAAGCCCATTTCCTCATGGTGTTACCCCCTCATTTGCGTATGTTTGCT